GTTTCCTGCCTAGAGAAGTTCCTTTAGCATTTGTTGTAAAGTTGGTTTGGTGGTGCTGAATTCTCTTAGCTTTTGCTTATCTGTAAAGTTTTTAATTTCTCTGTCAAATCTGAATGTGATCCTTGCTGGTTCGAGTAATCTTGGTTGTAGATTTTTCTCCTTCATCAGTTTAATATGTCCTGCCACCCACTTCTGGCTTGTAGAGTTTCTGGTGAAAGATCAGCTGTTAACTTTATGGGGATTCCCTTGTGTGTTATTTGTTGTTTTTCCCTTGCTGCTTTTAATATTTTTTTCTTTGTATTTAATTTTTTTTTCTTTTCTTTTCTTTTTGCGGTACGCGGGCCTCTCACTGCTGTGGCCTCTCCCATTGCGGAGCACAGGCTCCGGACGCGCAGGCTCAGCGGCCATGGCTCACGGGCCCAGCCGCTCCGCGGCATGTGGGATCTTCCCAGACTGGGGCACGAACCCGTGTCCCCTGCATTGGCAGGCGGACTCTCAACCACTGCGCCACCAGGGAAGCCCTGTATTTAATTTTTGATAGTTTGATTAGTATGTGTCTTGGCATGTTCCTCCTTGTATTTATCCTGTATGGGACTCTCTGTGCTTCCTGGACTTGATTAACTGTTTCCTTTCCCAAATTAGGGAAGTTTTCAACTATAATCTCTTCATATATTTTCTCAGTCCCTTTCTATTTCTCTTCTTCTTCTGGGGCCCCTATAATTCGAATGTTGGTGCGTTTAATGTTGTCCCAGAGGTCTCTGAGACTGTCCTCAGTTCTTTCATTCTTTTTTCTTTATTCTGCTCTGCAGTAGTTATTTCCACTATTTTACCTTCCAGGTCACTTATCCGTTCTTCTGCCTCAGTTATTTTGCTACTGACCCCTTCTAGAGAATTTTTAATTTCACTTATTGTGTTGTTCATCATTGTTTGTTTCCTCTTTAGTTCTTCTAGGTCCTTGATAATTGTTTCTTGCATTTTCTCTATTCTATTTCCAAGATTTTGGATCATCTTTACTATCATTATTCTGAATTCTTTTTCAGGTAGACTGCCTATTTCCTCTTCATTTGTTAGGTCTGGTGGGTTTTTACCTTGCTCCTTCATCTGCTGTGTGTTTTTCTGTCTTCTCATTTTGCTTATCTTATTGTGTTTGGGGTCTCCTTTTCACAGGCTGCAGGTTCGTAGTTCCCGTTGTTTTTGGTGTCTGTCCCCAGTGGTTAAGGTTGGTTTAGTGGGTTGTGTAGGCTTCCTGGTGGAGGGAACCTAGTGCCTGTGTTCTGGTGGATGAGGCTGGATCTTGTTTTTCTGTTGGGCAGTTCCACGTCTGGTATTGTGTTTTGTGGTGTCTGTGGCCTTATTATGATTTTAGGCAGCCTCTCTGTTAATGTATGGGGTTGTGTTCCTGTCTTGCTAGTTGTTTGGCATAGGGTGTCCAGCACTGTAGTTTGGTGGTTGTTGAGTGGAGTTGGGTCTTGGTGTTGAGATGGAGATCTCTGGGAGATTTTCGCCATTTGATATTACGTAGTGCTGGGAGGTCTCTTGTGAATCAGTGTCCTGAACTTGGCTCTCCCACCTGAGAGGCACAGCCCTGATGCCTGGCTGGAGCACAAAGAGCCCGTCATCCACACGGCTCAGAATAAAAGGGAGAAAAGAAAGAAAGAAGAAGATAAAATAAAGTAAAATAAAATAAAGTCTTTAAAATTAAAAATAATTATTAAAATTTTTTTAAATTAATAAAAAAAAGAGAGAAAGAAAGAAGAGAGCAACCAAACCAAAAACCAAATCCAACAATGATAACAAGTGCTAAAAACTATACTATGAAAAAAAAAATGGACAGACAGAACCCTAGGACAAATTGTAAGAGCCAAGCTATACAGACAAAATCACACACAGAAGCATACACATACTCACAAAAAGAGAAAAAGGGGAAAAAAAAATATATATATATATATATATATATCGTTGTTCCCAAAGCCTACCTCCTCAATTTGGGATGATTCGTTGTCTATTCATGTATTCCACAGATGCAGGGTACATCAAGTTGATTGTGGAGCTTTAATCCGCTGCTCCTGAGGCTGCTGGGAGAGATTTCCCTTTCTCTTCTCTGTTTGCACAGTTCCCGGGGCTCAGCTTTGGATTTGGCCCCGCCTCTTTGTGTAGGTCGCCTGAGGGCATCTGTTCCCGCTCAGACATGATGAGGTTAAAGGAGCAGGTGATTGGGGGGGCTCTGGCTCACTCAGGCCGGGAGGAGGGCGGGGTACGGATGTGGGGCAAGCCTGCGGCGGCAGAGGCCGGCATGACGTTGCACCAGCCTGAGGCACGCCGTGCGTTTTCCTGGGGAAGTTGTCCCTGGATCACGGGACCTTGGCAGTAGCGGGCTGCACAGGCTCCCAGGAGGGGAGGTGTGGAGAGTGACCTGTGCTGCACACAGGCTGCTTGGTGGCGGCAGCAGCAGCCTTAGCGTCGCATTCCTGTCTCTGGGGTCCGCGCTTTTAGCCACGGCTCACGCCCGTCTCTGGAGCTCCTTTAAGCAGCGCTCTTAATCCCCTCTCCTCGCGCAACAGGAAACGGAGGCAAGAAAAAGTCTCTTGTCTCTTCGGCAGCTGCAGACTTTTCCCAGACTCCCTCCCAGCTAGCCGTGGTGCACTAGCCCCCTTCAGGCTGTGTTCACACCGCCAACCCCAGTCCTCTCCCTGGGGTATGACCTCCGAAGCCCAAGCCTCAGCTTCCAGCCCCCGCCTGTTCCAGCGGGTGAGCAGACAAGCCTCTTGGGCTGGTGAGTGCTGGTCGGCACCGATCCTCTGTGCGGGAATCTCTCCGCTTTGCCCCTCGCACCCCTGTTGCTGCGCTCTCCTCCGTGGCTCCAAAGCTTTCCCCCTCCGCCACCCGCAGTCTCCGCCCGCGAAGGGGCTTCTAGTGTCTGGAAACCTTTCCTCCTTCACAGCTCCCTCCCACTGGTGCAGGTCCCGTCCCTATTCTTTTGTCTCTTTTTTCTTTTGCCCTACCCAGGTACGTGGGGAGTTTCTTGCCTTTTGGGAGGTCTGAGGTCTTCTGCCAGCATTCAGTAGGTGTTCTGTAGGAGTTGTTCCACATGTAGATGTATTTCTGATGTATTTGTGGGGAGGAAGGTGATCTCCACGTCTTACTCTTATGCCATCTTGAAGCTCCTCCACAAATAAAGTTTTATTAGAACTCTCACTTGTTTACATATTGCTTGTGGCTGCTTTCGCAGTACAGTGGCAGAGTTGAGTAACTGCAACGTAGTAGACTTTTGTTCTACAAAGCCTAGAATATTTAATATCTGCCCCTTATAGAAAAAATTGCCAGCCTCTGACGTAGGGAATGCTGTTCACTTCATTTTGCTTTGAATCAGAGGGTACATAATAACCAGATATAGTCTGATCCCTCCAGTGAACTCCTACACCCTCTGCCTGGACAGAAAGTGATCTGAGTGGTGTTATTTTCACCTGACATGGATGTCCAGTTCTTTATCCATCTTTCGCTGAATAACGGTTTTAACATCAATTTTTAATTCTTAGGCAAGTCAGTTATTTCATTAGGAGTTTCCAAATGATGGTTTTCTCCTCCCTTCATTTTGTTCACATTTGTTAGCTGGTATTCTCCTATAAAGTGGAACTTTTCCTCATCAGCTGGTACTATTTAAGTAACTTGAAATAAGTTCCTTTTGGAAAAGCCAAATAATGGCATAATTTTTTCTCTTTTATTACCAGTGTTCAAAGTCAGGCTATTCATTGTTTTCTTATTTTAGATCTCTGAATAGCTTGTGCATTCACATATTTCAAAATTCAAAATATGTAAAAGGTGTGATATAAAAATTCTCCGTCTCGGGCTTCCCTGGTGGCGCAGTGGTTGAGAGTCCGCCTGCCGATGCAGGGGACACGGGTTCGTGCCCCGGTCCAGGAAGATCCCACGTGCCGCGGAGCGGCTGGGCCCGTGAGCCATGGCCGCTGAGCCTGTGCGTCCGGAGCCTGTGCTCCGCAACAGGAGAGGCCACAACAGTGAGAGGCCCGCGTACCACACACAAAAAAAATGTCCATCTTGCCTCTGTCCCCTGCCCAAGGCAACCTCTATTAGTTTTTTCTGTACCTTTTCAGAGTATTTCATGCCTATATAAGCTAGTTCATGTATATTCTTTTCCCCCATTTTTATACAAATGATTGTATATACTGCACACTCTTCTACATGTCTCTTTTTTACTTTAACAATATACTCTGGAGATCTTTTTATATTCGACCATAAAAAGCCTTCTCATTCCTTTTGTTTGTTCGTTTGTTTTTTGCGGCCCAGCCGCTCCGCGGCATGTGGGATCTTCCCGGACCGGGGCACAAACCCGTGTCCCCTGCATCGGCAGGCAGACTCTCAACCACTGCGCCACCAGGGAAGCCCCTCATTCCTTTTTGTAAGCTGCATCATGCAGCATGGAAATAACCATAATTAATTTAGCCCACCGTATTGATAAATATTTCAGTTGTTTCCAATGTTCTGCTACTGGGCAGATGAATTCCTTTTAAATGGATAAAAGCAGCAGGGGGCATGAGTTCCCAGTCCTAAGGCATCCATCCCACCCTCAAGGACCTTCTGAGGAGGCCTCCCAGCTCTCCAGTGACCACTGGAGACAGTGGCGATTGTACCCAGAGAGCCCCCAGAGCACCTTGTGAGAAATCAGAGACCTCCAGGGGAAAGAGTGCCAGCGTCCCTTCTGAGGAAGAGATAGGAGCTACACCAGGTCCCCCGCACATCCTGCCAACACCCTTGGGAAAACTCAAACAGTTCCTACTCGTTTTGCAAATGGCAGCAGGAAAGAGTTACCCTTGCCCTCTAGTGGGCATCTGTTGTCTTTGGATAGCCAGGGTATCCTGGGTGGGCAGGAGCTGTCTCTGCTCAGGAAAGGCAGTGTCTAAAGGCCTGGCTCCCTCATGTTGAGGAAGGGATGGAGGCCCCTGGGTCTTCTTGACAAGGACATTTCTTGGCTTCTCTTTCAGGCCACTCAGCAAGGGACCATCCAGTGCAACTTTGCCGGGGTTGCTTTGGGCGATTCCTGGATCTCCCCCATCGGTAAGTAGGGAATTTTCAGACATTTTAAAAGTCCCTTTCCCTACCCTTCGGGACTTTGGGCTGTGGTATCTAGATCAAAGAACAAGGCAATGGAATTCTCTGGGTCCTTGAAAAAGTCAACAAAGAAGATGTTTGCTCCAGGAGTATTCCAAGAAATTCAGGAGTGAGAACTCAACTTACAGTGCACCTACCATGGACTGCTACAGGCTGAAGCGAGGTCTCTTATTTGATTTTCACAACAAAAGAATCAAATTTTACAGTTGAAGACATTCTAGAGACGTAGAAAGATGATGGAATTTGCCCTCTGACACACAGAATGAGTTGCCTGGGCAGGATACAAACCCAAGTCTGTTTGTCGTCTCGTCCTGTCCTCCATCCTTATGCTAACATGAGCATTTGGGGTGAAATTCCCACATGTTGCTCATTTTGATGGTGAGGCAGGGCTACCATCTGGTCCTGTAACTCAGAGGTTCGAAGTTTCATAACCTGAGCATCCTTGTTGGGAGTATAGATAAAAGTTGTTTGGAATGTATACACCCAGGGTGTGGCTTCAGGCATCTGAAATAGTCACTGTGGTAGGGTTAACTCTAGTGAGGATTTCTAAATCTCAGCAATGTTGATGTTTTGAGTGTCATGTGATTCTTTGTTGTGGGGGGCGTGTCCTGTGCCGTGAAGGATGTTAGCAGCATCTCTACCCGTTAAGATGCCAGTATTTCCACCCCAGCTTGGCAACCAACAATATCTCCAGACATATTGCCAAATGTCCCCAGGGGACAAAATCACCCCAGTTAGGGACTACTGCCCTAACCTAACAAAAGGTGACTTTTCACAGGCAAAACCAAACGGTAGAGTTAGATTTCAGAAGAGAAGTTGCCTCTGAAATAGGGAGGGGAATAAGCTGGAAAGGGACACGAAGGAACTTTTTAGGCTCTCGTTGGGTGGTTGTTACATGAGTGGATGTGTTAATCAAAACTCTTCTAAATGTATGTCTATGGTTTGTGATGATGCCTCAGGTTTTTAAAAATAATAATTTATAAAAGGTAATATTTTTCCCTTAAAAGATAGAGATTTGGCTTCTTACAGAGCCATGTCCCTGATGGATTCAAGACATTCTGAAGCTGCTTGGAATGGTTATTTCTTGCCCTCGTTCTTGGCATCTCCAGGGCAGGGGTTAAAGGACAGAACTGAAAGCTCAGTCCGCATTGTGAAAAGGGCTGCTCTTTGTGTTTCCTTCCTGGATGTACTTCCTAGGATGCCAAGATGTTGCAGAAGCCTTGACCTGAGGCGTGAGGGAGTCAGCAGGTTTCCTGACAGGTGTCTCACTCAGAGTGATGGTCCTGGCCTCACACTTCCTTCGAGGGTCTCATCACAGCTGTGTTAATAACACTAAACACTTTTCATGTGTTAACTTCACTTAATGCTTGCAACAGCTCCATGGGATGGATGGTATTATTATCCTAGTTTTGGAGGTGATGAAATGGAGACTCAGAGAGGTTAAGCAATCTTCCTAAAGTCACACAGCTAAAGCCAGGATGCACATGAAGGAAGCAGGCAGTGGAATCCATGCACTTAACCATTACGAATTCACATTGTTGTGACCCACCTCCCCTTTTGAATCTTCCTGCCCAGCTCTTAATCCCTCCTTCCAGGTCCACCTTGATCCCTTCTTCCAGATCCACCTTACATATCACTCTTCCACCCCAGAAGTACTCTCTTTTTTGAAGAAGTACTATTAATTTTCACAAGCAATTATTAATTGCTTGCTAGGGAGTAGTTGTTTTGTTGGGTGCTAGGAAAGATGCAGACATGCTTCATTTCTTCAAGAAGATCTGCACAGTTCAGTATGGTCGCCGTAGCCACATGTGACTATTTACATTAATTAAAATACGTAAAATTTTCCACCTTTCATTTGTACTACCCACAATTTCAAAGTGCCCAATAGCCACGTGTGGCTGTTGACTATTGTTTTGGACCACACAGATACAGAACATTTTGAGAGTTCCCTGGCGGTCCAGTGGGTTAGGACTCTGTGCTTCCACTGCAGGGGGCACGGGTTCAGTCCCTGGTCGTGGAACTACGATCCCACAAGCCTTGCGGTGTGGAAGAAAAAGAAAAAGATATAGAACATTTCCATCATTGCAGAAAGTTCTACTGGACATCAGAGGTCCTCATCAGAGTTCAGCAACTACGGCCTCCAAGTCAATTCTGTCCTGCCACTCTGCTTTAGTAAATAAAGTTTTTACTGGGACACAGTCACACCTATTTATCTACATATCCTCTGACTGTTTGGAGGCTGCCGAAACAGAGTTGAGTAGCTGTAACAGAGATCAGCTGGCCTGCAAAGCCAGAAATATTTATTATTTATCTCTTTCTTTCAGAAAAAGTTTGTCAGTCCCTGGTCTAGATCAAGCAGGGAATGGGATGCATTGGAGAACTGCAGATGATTCTTTATAAGAAACTGAGGGGGGCTTCCCTGGTGGCTCAGTGGTTGAGTCCGCCAGCCGATGCAGGGGACACGGGTTCGTGCCCCGGTCTGGGAAGATCCCACATGCTGCAGAGCGGCTGGGCCCGTGAGCCATGGCCGCTGAGCCTGCGCATCCGGAGCCTGTGCTCCGCAACGGGAGAGGCCACAACAGTGAGAGGCCTGCGTACCGCAAAAAAAAAAAAAAAAAAAGGCAACAGAAACAGAAACTGAGGCACAGGTTTGATGGTTTAGCTGGAAAGGTGAATGACAACTGGGTCCTGTAGGACCTGGTGTGCCTGCATTTCTCAGGGTGTGCTCTGAAGAATACCAGTCCAATGAAGTGCTATGCAAAGGGCTCCATGGCCAAATAAGTTTCAGAAGTGCCAAATACTGGTGCCACTTCCTCACGGTTCACAGGTACATTAAAGGCTCTGAGAAGTCCTGCAGTAAAAAATAAAAATATGTTGTCTTTTGCATAACCCCAAAGGTATTTCATCACCAAGTCATTTTTCCTTCCAATACTTTGGTTAACATTCTGTAGAACTGGGGTTATTTGAAACAGACTTTGAGATACTTGGGCTTAGGGGGAACCATTGAAGGCTTTTAAGCAAAGGAGTGACGTGTTCAAATGTGCTCTATAAGTTGTGGTCGTTGATGGAAATCAACTATACTTCAGTTTTTTTTTTAATTACAGAAGAAGAAAATCACATAAGCCAAAAAAAAAAAGTTGTGGGCCTTGCTACTTTTTTGGCACGTCTCTCAATGGCACTAGCCGTACTCAGCGTTATGGTAGTCGTGAACTTGTCCAAACCGAGCCCAACTATTCTCTTTGAAGTCAGGTATTGTCTTACTCGTGTTTATGTCTTATAAAGCTCCTTACTGGCTTTAGGCCCATAGTAAACTCTCAATTCATTTTCGGGATTGAAATGAATTGATTGGCAGTTACAGCACAGACACTTGTGAGGTCATTAGTCTTCTTCCTTAATTAGCTCCTTGACGGAAGCTGGCGTCCCCGAATTGGAGGAGCAGGCAGGATGCAGAGCAGAACTCTGAAGGTGGGGAAATATTTTAGGCTGTCACGAAGTCTAGAAGTCTGCAAATGAGGGCCTCCACTGCACACGCACTGCTTGGCTGTGGTACCATCCCTGGCGACTCACTGGCTGCGCCAGTATCAGGCCAAATTAATGTAGCATTTAGTCCAGTCACCAGAAAGACCCCCACAGCCTCGCCCCACCTCCCAGCCACTGAGACATCAGGCCTGCATGGGCCCTGGTGAGTTAAGGAGCCTTCAGACCCAAAGCCACTGCATTTCTTCTGTCTCTTTCTGCTTTGGAAGGAAAACTAGTTAGGTATTTTGTGGGGAGGACAGAGCCACAACAAACTTATTTTCTTATGTGGTTTCCTTTAGATTCAGTGCTCTCCTGGGGACCTTACTTGTACAGCATGGTAAGTAGATGAGTCCCCAGCTCTGCACCTTCTGTGGTTAACAGCCCAGCTGACCTCTTCTGGCTCTGTCCGAAGGAAGGACAAAGCTAGCTGGGTTTGCCTGTGTGGTTGACATTGCCCCTTAGGGACTTATCAAATAATCTGTATCAAATCAAAGACCCTAAGCAACAGCTGGCCTTGGGGACAAATTTAAAGAAATAGCAGCACAGTTATCCCATTTCTCCAGCTATAAGAAATGCACATTTTAAAATTCCCCCCCCAGCTTTTTATTACAGACATTTTCAAATACGCAGAAAAGTTGAAAGATCATGGGGAACACCCATATACCCATCACTTAGACTCAGTTACCGTTTTCCTATATTTCCGTCATCAATATGGACGGTCCCCTTTCTCCTTCCTGCCGCTCTTTCTGTTACCTGTCCCTAACTGGAGCCATGCCAGATTTGTGTCTCTCACAAAGTGGGCCTTTTGGTTCTTGCTTTGCGTTCCAGTCTCTTCTCGACGACCAAGGTCTGGCAGAGGTGTCTCGGGTTGCAGAACAAGTCCTGGATGCCATAAATAAGAGACTCTACAAAGAGGCCACTGAGCTGTGGGGGAAAGCAGAAATGGTCATTGAACAGGTAAGAGGGGACGCGCTCGGGGCCAGCCTGCTTGGCTTTTCCCCTTGGGTGAAGGGACCTTGGTTGGTGTTGTTAGGATTGGGATCTATCCTGAGACTGCCCACAAGTCGAGAAATGATGTCAAACTAAACGATAAATCTGGCGAGTCTGAGCAAAGACAGGGTCAGAAAGCCACCCAGCCTGCAAGACTTGCCTGCCTCTTGACTGAAGGTATGGCTTCTATAAAAAGGAATATGTCCCACAGAGGCAAGTGTTTGGATCCTTGCCGAGCAGTGCTTTGGCCCCAGTGAGCCAGGAGGGAAGAATGCATAGGCTGAGGACTTGAGTATGTAGGACACTCTGTAGCTCGGTTTTCCCTGGTAATTAACTCACAGGACCTTGGTTTCCTCCTGCGGCATCGGAGCTCCACTGGAATGAGCTGCTCACTTTGCCAGGAGACTGGGCTGACACTGCTGGTCTCTGAGCCTTAAGGGCTACATTTCTTTCTGGTCCGAGCAAATGTACAGAGTTAAAGCTGTCCTCGGATAAGGTGGAGAGCCAGGTGCCGTTCTGTTTTGCAACTTTGATAATGAATAAATAAAACAAACAGCCAAATATATTTCTTCTGTATCTCAGAACACAGACGGGGTGAACTTCTATAACATCTTAACTAAGACGTCTCCCACGTCTACCATGAAATCGAGTCTAGAATTCACCCAGAGCCACATAGGTGAGTGGACCTTGAAGTTGCTAGACCCTGTCTCAGCCTCCGTGTGAGAGGAAACCAATTTTTTAAAAAGCTTTATTGATATATAATTTCCGTACCATAAAATTCACCCATTTTAAGTGTGTAATTCCGTGGTTTTTAGTTTATTTACAGAGTTGTGCACTCATCACCACAGTCGAGTTTTAGCCCATTTCCATCACCCCAGAAAGAGCCCACGTGTCTGTCTGCCGTCAATTTCCGTTCCCACTCCCAGCCCCAGGCAACTACTAATCTGCTTTCAGTCTCTACATTTGCCATTTCAGGACATTTCACATAGACGGAGTCATGCACTAGGTAGGCTTTTGCATCCGGCTTCTTGCACTTAGACAGTGTTTTGAAGTTTGGAAACCAGCTTCTGCACATTGAATGACGATGTCAGTTCTCTGAAGGCTGGATTGAGTTGTCTTCCCTGCGGGTGCTGAATGCCTGGTATCCTCCCGCCAGGTAGAAGCTGCAGGAGGCCTCTAGATTCCACTCAGCTGTTTGCCTTTGGCCGTGCTGGGTAATCTCAGTGGCCCCAGAGTACATAAAATGCAGCAGTCAAAACCAATGAAGCATCTCCACTTTGAACATGTTCCTGACTCCCCCACCCCCCCGCCATCTGGGGGGGATCAGGGGGGCACTTTTCTTCTTCCAGGTGCAGGTCTCCCTCTTACACAGCATCCCCGGCCGCTTAGAAAAGAGGTTCTCTTGGTCTTATTTCCAGTCCTTTGACTCACCGTGTACCAGTTTGTTTTAGTTCACCTTTTCCAGCGCCACGTGAGACACTTACAGCAGGATGCCTTAAGTCAGCTCATGAATGGTCCCATCAGAAAGAAACTCAAAATTATTCCTGAAGATTGCTCCTGGGGAGGTAACTTGTGTGATCTAATTAAAATGTCTTTTGTAGAGCTGGGAGGGTGAAAAAGGTGGAAATTCAAAGGCCTTAATCTGTTGAATGGGCTTTGGTGGTGGCAATAGTGTGTTGCAGGTAGAATAGTATTGACATTGATAGATGAGCAAACATAGAAAGACAGTAAATAACATGCCAAAATTGGTTCAAAATCGGGGGTTGGTAAGGGAAGTGGCTGGGGAGAGAAATGAAGCGACTTTTTATAAGTGGAAGCCAGGAGTGAGTACATGGGAATCATCACACCCTCTTTACTTCTGTATCAGTGTGAGGTTTTCCATAATAAAAAACTGAGATTAAAAAAGCCATGCCCAGGGCTTCCCTGGTGGCGCAGTGGTTGAGAGTCCGCCTGCCGATGCAGGGGACGCGGGTTCGTGCCCCGGTCCAGGAAGATCCCACATGCCGCGGAGCGGCTGGGCCCGTGAGCCATGGCCACTGAGCCTGCGCGTCCGGAGCCTGTGCTCCGCAATGGGAGAGGCCACAACAGTGAGAGGCCCGCGTACTGCAAAAAAAAAAAAAAAAAAAAGCCATGCCCAAGGCCATAGTTGGTTGTGGGTGAGACTTACAGACAAAGGCCCGTTCGGACAGGGTTTGAGAAGCTCTCTCGGGCTGGCCTCTGCAGGCGTCCTGATGTGGATGTGGTCTGCCATCTATTGCCTTCTGGTCTGAAGGTCATAGTGGGGAAATACAGGGGTCCTCAGGGACCCCAGTAAGTTCCTGCTCAGTCTTATAGGGAAGCTGTGAGTAAGTGGGACCCCCAGACTCCTGGAGGGGAAACACTCAAGCTGAGGAGGGTTTTGTTCATGTCTAAGAGACCCCAAAGCTATGCCTCTGTTAGGGCAGAACGTTGACAGCGGCGGAGAGGCTGGGACTTGGCTCTGGCCCTGGCTTCTTCAGGGGACACGGCCATCTCCCAACACGCAGTCAACAGAGGACTCGTCCTAGACCTAGTGTCTTCATTTCCCCCTCCTCCCTTAGAGTTTTCTAGTAATGAGGGAAAAGTTAGCTCAAACAAAAGAATGCGGTGTCAGAGCTTAAAGGGGTACAGACACCCATGGGAGGTTGGATGCTGAGAAGGAGGAGATGTGAGCACCCCCAGGAGGCCAGGTGAAGGTCAAGCTCACAAGAGCACATCTTTTCAGCTCAACCCCCTCATCTTACCTTCATGACAGTGTTGTCCAGCCCCAGCTTCTCTCGTTATAGGGACCCTCCCTCGCTGCCCAGTGTGGCTAGACGGGCGAGCCAACTACACTTTTGCAGATGAAAACTGATAAGAGCAAACTCTCCCTGGCTCGGGTGTGCCTGTGTATGGGTCTGGAAAGGACAGACTGTCCTTTCCGGGTACCCTCAGTGTCCCAAGTCCAGTTTGTAGTTAAGGCCTACATACTTCGGAGTCAGCCAGGCCTGCGTTCCGGTCCCAGCTTGCCACTGGCTGTTTGGCCCGGGGCGTGTTGCTCAGCCTCTCTGAGCCTTATGTTCTTTAGCCATTGCACAGGCTAAAGAGCCTAACCTCGCAGGGTTGGTGAAGGAAGGAGGCAATGGGTTGTTGCTTGCAGAGTGCTTACTTAGCACAGTGACCGGCAACTAAAAGTCAATGATGGCTGCTGCCGTCGTTCAGTACATAGGATGACAGTGATGGTCGGGGACCCAGCAAGAAGGCTGTGCGGACCGCCTCCTCTCTTGCCTGGGGCTAGTCATCCATGTGACTTTACCAAGGGCCAGCTCTGAATTGGTTTAGGACTGATTTGTTGATTACTAAGGTAGCCCTACTGGTTCAGAGCTTAAAACTTGGCCCTGAAAAAGCAAAAACAAAGCAAAACAAAAAAACCTTGTCTCTGGGGTGACTCAGCAAAGGAGGAAAACTAATGCTGTCCCCAAATCAGTTTGTCCCCTGAGAGGACCAGCGCAATGGGTATTTTCTTTTTTTTTTAAATCTTATTTATTTTTTTGGCTGCATTGGGTCTTCGTTGCTGCGCGCGGACTTTCTCTAGTTGTGGAGAGTGGAGGCTAATCTTTGTTGCGGTGCACGGGCTTCTCATTGTGGTGACTTCTCTTGTTGTGGAGCACGGGCTCTAGGCACGCGGGCTTCAGTCGTTGCGGCATGTGGGCTCAGTAATTGTGGCGCATGGGCTTAGTTGATCCGCGGCGTGTGTGATCTTCCCGAACCAGGGATCGAACCTGTGTCCCCTGTGTTGGCAGGTGGATTCTTAACCACTGCGCCACCAGGGAAGTCCCTCGAAGGGTATCTTCTAAACCTCCCTGTTTCCTTGGGTGTTAGCTTTCTCTGGGTTTCCATCCCTCATGACAGATGGCATCTGCTATCATCACAAGCACCTGGATGAACAGACATGTGTGCTGTTTGGGCTCCCCTTCTACGCGGCCAGCTCGGGGCACAGATTTCTGGGCCAGCTGGTCCAGGTGAAGCAGCTGTGTATTCAGTCTTTGTTAGGTGCTGCACGGTGGTCACTTTTGGGTGCTGGGTGCTCTGGGCTGAAAGGTGCCTCTTGTTCTGGCAGGTTCCAAGCTGCTACCTCTTTCTCCTTCCCCTTGTACAGGCCAGGCTGCCAGCGTCTTCCTGAACATGAAGGGGGACTTCATGAAACCCGTCATCAGCATTGTGGACGAGCTGCTGGAAGCCGGGGTCAACGTGACCGTGTATAATGGACAGCTTGACCTCATCGTGGACACCATGGGTAGGAACCACTCGGGGCCCATGGAGGCAGTGTCGTGGGTTGAGCTGGAAGGGAACTGGCCTCTTGGGGGACTGTTGACATTGAAATGGCAGGAGGAAGGCCATTTCCTGTTACATGCATCCACCCCTGACCTTGACTCTTTGAAGAGGGTAGGGCTGCCCGAGGTTGTGACCCCTCAGAGAAGCCTGGCCTGTCCAGCTTTTGAGGCCTTAGGTATGATTACAGAAAAGGATAATACCCACGCCCACCTCGAAATTTAAAAAGAAGACATTTCCCTAGCCACTGGACTGAGGGAAAACCTGATTTTTGTGCAGCGTCACAGGGGATGGGAAAGCACTGCAGCGTGAATCAAGACAGCCCTGCCGACCCTGTAGAGATGAGGACCCAGGGGAAATGGTCTTGGTGAGGTCCCTCCCGCGTTGGCTGCCACCTGTGCCCACCTCTGGTTTCAGGGAGGGCCAGGGAGAAGCTCAGGCAGTTCTCAGAACTGGCAGATAAATCGAGGCACATGGTCTGGAGGGTATGAGCGTTCCTCGAAGTCAGCAGGATTGAATATTTTTGCGACTTGGGAGCCAAGGGTACTGAGGACGATTTGAAAAGGTTCTGTGTTTCTTCCACGACCTCCCCGGTGTGATCCAGCATCTCCTTACCCTGAGGCTTCTCCGTCCTCCTGACAGTGCTGTCCACCTCCAGAGGTCCCTGATTTCCTTCCTACAGAGCGTAGGGCAGTGGGAGGGTCAGGGGCAAAAAGTAGTCACAGCTGTTAGGTTTCTCCTGGGCAGCCTGGCTGTGGCTGGGACAACCAGTGCTACAAATGCAGAGTCCCAGGCCATGCCCAGACCTACTGCATTGGAATGTACATTTTAATAAGATCCCAAAGTGAGTTTTATGTACATCCCAGCTTGCAGATTCTATGCCGAATCATGGGACCCAGATTTTGGGTTCTCCTCCACTCAGCTCTTAATGCTGGGGCCTTCTTTATCCCCCTCACCAGGTCAGGAGGCCTGGGTGCGAAAACTGAAGTGGGCAGAACTGCCCAAATTCAGTCAGCTGAAGTGGAAGCCCCTGCACAGTGACCCTGAGACTTCAGAAACGTCTGCCTTTGTCAAGTCCCACAAGAACCTGGCTTTCTACTGGATTCTCAGAGCTGGACACATGGTGAGAGAGGGTCAGCGTTTGTTCCAGATTTGCCGCTCGAGTTGGGGGTGGGGGAGCCACACGCACTGGTCTCGTAAGTGCATTGGGTTTGGGGGGGTTTTGGGGTCGCTAATGAAACTCTATTTGTGCTTCATTGAAAAAGTAAATCCTCCTGAGAGACTTACGCTGGGTTCTCTATCCTCTGCTCTTTAGGTTAAATGAGTTGAATGTTACTTTCCTCTGGACAGTTTGTCCTGAAGGAACAACTTGTCCCGAGGGAGGGAGGGAGGAGGGAGAAATTGTCTTTCCCTGACATTTTCAGGGAGTGAAATCAGAGCTCGGTGGTCTGTAAGGCTGAGCACAGTGCAGAGTACAAGTGTTTGTGAAGAGCGGTGGCTCTGGAACTTCAGTTCAGAAGAGGCTTCACCTGCAAAGACGGGCACTGAGGCTGCAGCACTCTTGCACTTGCCTAGCGAACACGGTGTTTTCCCTTAGGCTGTAGGTGGACTGAGTAGCTTTCCCTGGGCTGAGGGAGATGATGGAGGGATGGATCCACTATGCAAGCACATGCACGCTCATGCACACGCATACACACACAGACGACCTGCAAAGGAGCCAAAGACGGGAATGCCCAGGAAGCAGAGGGGCCCAGGTGTTCCCCTCACGGTTATGCTTCGGTCCAGCCATTTAAATGCAGCCTCTCCTTTCGTCCCAGATGGCAGTTTCCTGGAGGAGACCTGTGGGAGAGATGGGAAGGCTTGGCGCCATAGCGCTAAGACAGAATCTCCACAGAGACGGGGCTGAGGGACAGCTGTCTGGCTGGAAAGGAGGGCCTAAGGAACTGGCCTTAAAGCTTCATGTGCACAGTGAGCACATCATAGAGCATTCACTTGGACCGCCAAGGAAATGCTGAGGGACTTGAGGGTTACCAGCAGTGGTTCTCAACTGGGGTCAGTTTTGCCCCAAGGGGTCTTCAGGGATGTCTGGAGACATTTGGGGTTGTCACAGCTTGGGGCAGGTTGCTACTGGTATGTGGTGGGCAGAGGCCATGGATCCTGGTAAACATCCTGCTGCACACAGGCCAGCCCCCCGCCACAGAGAATTGTGTTGCGCAAAACGTTAGTCGTGTCCAGGTTGAGAAACCCTGACCTAGAGGAAAGTGGGAGCCTGGGTGTATGGTATACTTGTTCTCACAATATTTATTAGGTATCTTGGCCATGAATAACTTATCCTCAACCTCTCTGACCCTTAGTCTTCTATTTTTTTATATATATAAATTTATTTATTTTATTTATTTTTGGCTGTGTTGGGTCTTTGCTGCTGAGCACGGGCTTTCTTTAGTTGTGGTGAGGGGGGCTACTCTTCGTTGCTGTGCGCAGGCTTCTCACTGCAGTGGCTTCTCTTGTGGGGCACAGGCTCTAGGCGCTTGGGCTTCAGTAGTTGTGGCACGTGTGCTCAGTAGTTGTGACTCGTGGGATCTAGAGCGCAGGCTCAGTAGTTGTGGCACATGGGCTTAGTTGCTCCGCGGCATGTGGGATCTTCCCAAACCAGAGATCGAACCCATGTCCCTTGCATGGGCAGGCAGACTCTCAACCACTGCGCCACCAAAAAGCCCTTCCCTTAGTCTTCTCTTAAGAACCTCCCAGAGAGAGACGGGAAGATAGCAGAAGAGTAGGACGTGGAGATCACCTTCCTCCCCACAGATACACCAGAAACACATCTACACGTGGAACAACTCCTACAGAACACCTACTGAATGCTGGCAGAAGACCTCAGACCTCCCAAAAGGCAAGAAACTCCCCACGTACCTGGGTAGGGCAAAAGAAAAAAAGAAAAAACAGAGACAAAAGGATAGGGATGGGACCTGCACCAGTGGGAGGGAGCTGTGAAGGAGGAAAGGTTTCCAGACACTAGAAGCCCCTTCGCAGGCAAAGACTGCGGATGGCGAGGGGGAAAGAAGCTTCAGAGCCATGGAGGAGAGCGCAGCAACAGGGGTGCGGAGGGAAAAGTGGAGAGATTCCCGCACAGAGGATCGGTGCCGACCAGCACTCACCAGCCCGAGAGGCTTGTCTGCTCACCCGCTGGAACAGGCGGGGGCTGGAAGCTGAGGCTCGGGCTTCGGAGGTCGGATCCCAGGGAGAGGACTGGGGTTGGCGGCGTGAACACAGCCTGGAGGGGTTAGTGCGCCATGGCTAGCTGGGAGGGAGTCTGGGAAAAGTCTGCAGCTGCCGAAGAGACAAGAGACTTTTTCTTGCCTCTTTGTTTCCTGGTGCCTGGGAGAGGGGATTAAGAGCGCTGATTAAAGGAGCTACAGAGACGGGCGCAAGCTGCGGCTAACAGCAAGGACCCCAGAGACGGGCATGAGATGCTAAGGCTGCTGCTGCCGCCGCCAAGAAGCCTGTGTGTGAGCACAGGTCACTCTCCACACCTCCCCTCCCAGGAGCCTGTGCAGCCCGCCACTGCCAGGGTCCCGGGATCCAGGGACAACTTACCCAGGAGAACACACGGCGCGCCTTGGGCTGGTGCAATGTCACGCTGGCCTCTGCCGCCGTGGGCTCACCCTGCATCCGTACCCCTCCCTCCCCCGAGCCTGAGTGAGCCAGAGCCCGCGAATCAGCTGCTCCTTTAACCCTATCCTGTCTGAGCGAAGAACAGACGCCCTCAGGCGACCTACATGCACAGGCAGGGCCAAATCCAAACCTGAACCCCGGGAGCTGTGTAAACAAAGAAGAGAAAGGGAAATATCTCCCAGCAGCCTCAGAAGCAGCGATTAAAGCTCCACAATCAACTTGATGTACCCTGCATCTGTGGAATACCTGAATAGACAACGAATCATCCCAAATTGAGAAGGTGGACTTTGGGAGCAAGATAGATTATTTTTTCTCCTTTTCCTCTTTTTGTAAGTGTGTATGTGTATGCTTCTGTGTGAGATTTTGTCTGTATACCTTTGCTTTCACCATTTGTCCTAGAGTTCTGTCCGTCCGTTTTTTGTTTTGTTTTGTTTTACTTTTCAAAATATTTTTCTTAATAATTATTTTATTTTACCTTACTTTATTTTATTTTATCGTCTTTCTTTCTTTCTTTCTTTATTTCTTTTCTTTCTCTCTTTCATCTTTCTGTTTTTTCTACCTTTTATTCTGAGGCGCGTGGAGGAGAGTCTCTTGGTGCTCCAGCCAGGTGTCAGGGCTGTGCCACTGAGGTGAGAGAGCCAAGTTCAGGACATTGGTCCACAATAGACCTCCCAGCTCCACATAATATCAAACAGCAAAAATCTCCCAGAAATCTCCATCTCAACGCCAAGACCCAGCTTCACTCAACGACCAGCAAGCTACAGTGCTGGACACCCTATACCAAACAACTAGCAAGACAGGAACACAACCCCACCCATTATCAGAGAGGCTGCCTAAAATCATAATAAGGCCACAGACACCACAAAACACACCACCAGACGTGGACCTGCCCACCAGAAAGACAAGATCCAGCCTCATCCACCAGAACACAGGCACTAGTCCCCTCCACCAGGAAACCTACACAACCCACTGAACCAACGTTAGCCACTGGGGACAGACACCAAAAACAACAGGAACTATGAACCTGCAGCCTGCGAAAAGGAGACCGCAAACACAGTAAGATAAGCAAAATGAAAAGACAGAAAAACACACAGCAGATGAAGGAGCAAAGTAAAAACCCACGAGACCTAACAAATGAAGAGGAAATAGGCAGTCTACCTGAAAAAAATTCAGAATAATGCTAGTAAAGATGATCCAAAATCTTGGACATAGAATAGAGAAAATGCAAGAAACATTTACCAAGGACCTAGAAGAACTAAAGAGGGAACAAACAATGATGAACAACACAATAAATGAAATTAAACATACTCTAGAAGGGATCAATAGCAAAATAACTGAGGGAGAAGAACGGATAAGTGACCTGGAAGATAAAATAGTGGAAATAACTACCGCAGAGCGGAATAAAGAAAAAAGAATGAGAAGAACTGAGGACAGTCTCAGAGACCTCTTGGACAGCATTAAACGCACCAACATTCGAACTATAGGGGTCCCAGAAGAAGAACAGAAAAAGAAAGGGATTGAGAAAATATTTGAAGAGATTATAGTTGAAAACTTCCCTAATGTGGGAAAGGAAATAGTTAATCAAGTCCAGGAAGCACAGAGTCCCACACAGGATAAATCCAAGGAGAAACACGCCAAGACACATATTAATCAAACTGTCAAAAAGTAAATACAAAGAAAACATATTACAAGCAGCAAGGGAAAAACAACAAATAACACACAAGGGAATCCCCATAAGGTTAACAGCTGATCTTTTACCAGAAACTCTGCAAGCCAGAAGTGGGTGGCAGGACATATTTAAAGTGAAGAAGGAGAAAAACCTACAAGCAAGATTACTCTACCCAGCAAGGATCACATTCAGATTTCATGGAGAAATTAAAAGCTTTACAGACAAGCAAAAGCTGAGAGAGCTCAGCACCACCAAACCAGCTTTACAAAAAACGCTAAAGGAACTTCTCTAGGCAAGACACACAAGAGAAGGAAAAGATCTACAATAAAATACCCAAAACAATTAAGAAAATGGGAATAGGAAAATACATATCGATAATTACCTTAAATGTAAATGGATTAAATGCTCCCAGCAAAAGACACAGACTGGCTGAATGGATACAAAAACAAGACCCGTGTATATGCTGTCTAGAAGAGACCCACTTCAGACCTAGGGACACATACAGACTGAAAGTGAGGGGATGGAAAAAGATTCCATGCAAATGGAAATCAGAAGAAAGCTGGAGTAGCAATTCTCATATCAGACAAAACAGACTTTAAAATAAAGACTATTACAAGAGACAAAGAAGGACACTACATAATGATCAAGGGATCAATCCAAGAAGAAGAGAAGATATAACAATTGTAAATATTTATGTACCCAACATAGGATCACCTCAATACATAAGGCAAATACTAATAGCCATAAAAGGGGAAATTGACAGTAACACAATCATAATAGGGGACGTTGTTTTTTTTTTTTTTTTTTTAGTCCCCTCGGCTCGTGCCCTCAAAGCAAAGCCCCGAGTCCACAGTTGAGTAGGGGACTTTTAACACCCCACTTTCACCAATGGACAGATCATCCAAAATGAAAATAAATTAGGAAACACAAGCCTTAAATGATACATTAAACAAGATGGACTTAATTGATATTTATAGGACATTCCATCCAAAAGCAACAGAATACACATTTTTCTCAAGTGCTCATGGAACATTCTCCAGGATAGATCATATCTTCGGTCACAAAACTAGCCTTGGTAAATTTAAGAAAATTGAAATCGTATCAAGTATCTTTCCAACCACAATGATATGAGGCTAGATATCAATTATAGGAAAAGATCTGTAAAAAATACAAACACATGAAGGCTAAACAATACACTACTTAATAACGAAGTGATCACTGAATAAATCAAAGGAAATCAAAAAATACCTAGAAACAAATGACAATGGATACATGACGACCCAAAACCTGTGGGATGCAACAAAAGCAGTTCTAAGAGGGAAGTTTATAGCAATACAATCCTACCTTAAGAAACAGGAAAGGGCTTCCTTGGTGGCGCAGTGGTTGAGAGTCCGCCTGCCGATGCAGGAGACACGGGTTCATGCCCCCGTCTGGGAAGATCCCACACGCCACGGAGCGGCTAGGCCCATGAGCCTGCACATCCAGAGCCTGTGCTCCGCAACAGGAGAGGCCACAACAGTGAGAGGCCCACATACCACAAAAAAAAAAAAAGAAAAGAAACAGGAAACATCTCAAATAAACAACCTAACCTTGCACCTAAAGCAATTAGCGAAAGAAGAACAAAAAACCCCCAAATTTAGCAGAAGGAAAGAAATCATGAAGATCGGATCAGGAATAAATGAAAAAGAAATGAAGGAAACGATAGCAAAGATCAATAAAACTAAAAGCTGGTTCTTTGAGAAGATAAACAAAATTGATAAACCATTAGGCAGACTCATTGAGAAAAAAAGGGAGAAGACTCAAATCAATAGAATTAGAAATGAAAAAGGAGAAGTAACAACTGACACTGCAGAAATACAAAAGATCATGGGAGATTACTACAAGCAACGCTATACCAATAAAATGGACAACCTGGAAGAAATGGACAAATTCTTAGAAATGCACAACCTGCCGAGACTGAACCAGGAAGAAATAGAAAATATGCACAGACCAGTCACAAGCACTGAAATTGAAACTGTGATTAAAAATCTTCCAACAAACAAAAGCCCAGGACCA